AGATCGATTGTTACTGCTCGATCTAGTGGTCAATCTCGTGGTCGATCCACTAGTCGAATTTTAATAATTCGAAGCTCTTTCCTTTAATTAATCCGTTTGTTTCTCGTGGTAGTTGCTTCCTTTCTACTATTTTTAAAATAGGTTTCATTCTGTTTAGGTTGCTGCATCTAGTTCTTAGATATTTTCTCATAAACTGTCTCATTTTGCTTAGATTTGCTCTAGTCCTTGCATTCTCTGTGCATTCTCTATCTCCTAGAAGTGGATTGACTCTCTCTTGCTTGCTATACTACGACATTGTTTGCATTAGAGTTTGATAACCTCTCTGCATCATAAACCCTCGCTAGAAAAACGTTTATCAGACACACGGCGCTCTGTAACTGGCTTGTGTTCATTGGTTCCTCTCTGGTTTCTTGGCGCTGTAAGAAAGAGCATACTGTCTCCAGGTCTTCTGCAGAGCAGAATATCGCAGCCTTGCATCTTTTGTAAGTTAAATGGTTTGGCTCACAAATTACTTGCAGGAACTTGGCATTCAAATGAGTTCTTCTGCTCCTCCCTTTTGTGATAACACTGCTGCCAAACATCATGATATCCTGTTTTCAGCGTACTAAACATATAGAGACCGACTGTGTGTTAGAAGTTGGCTGCAGGTTTATTCAAGCTTCTCTCCGGACTGATCTACAAATTGCAGATGTTCTCACAAAGGCATTACATCCAACTCCTTTCCACAACTTGGTAAGTAAGATGGGTTTGATCTTTATTTGATCCCGGGAAATTTTGTGATGTAATGTGATGAATTGTATAGTTGCATCTGTGATTGTGATGAATTGTATAGTTGAGTCTGTGAACCGGTGTTGTATAAACCGGTGTAGTTAATTTTCTCTCCTTTGGTTAAAGCTCTAGAGCCTCCCAAATAGTAGCTCAATACCCTGAGTAGCTGCGAGAGTCTTCCTACTCAGGTCGGAATATGAAAAGCCATGCGGTTTGGATAGCCGCTCTGCTCCTGCCGATAGATTGTTTGTGTTATCCTTTTTTGGTTTCCGTTCTGACTTCCCTATGGTCCGAGTGGAAAGAAGCGGCTAAAATGATTAGAAAAGATTCCACAACGGAAAGCAAGGCATCCTTTACCCAGGTTACCGAACCTAGAGAACAAGATATAGCAACTAGCAAACCATTATAGTATTAGCACAATCACTTTCTCTGTCTCCAATCCCATTATGTCCACGTTGGAGGATCCCTAGTTATGGATTTCCGTTTCCCTATCAGAAAAGTAAGACAGGAGCCATAAGTCATTAACATCCTTTTAGTAATAATTCTGTTCTGTTTACAGCCGAGTCGGCCTTTGGAAAATAAGTGCTTTCTCTTTTTTGATTAAACAAACCAACCGGCGAGTGGAATCCCGTACAATATTTTGAGGTTTTTTAGAGTAAACCCTGTCTTTAATCACTCGTAGCAGGAAAGTTATGAGGTCCTCTCTTTTACTATTTCTGTAAATTATCCTTTTCTAGATACGAGGGCAAAACTGTGTCAAAAAGTCAAACCCATCTTTTGACTTTTTGAGACCTCTCTTTGCTAACCTTGTATGATGCTACCCGCACTCATTAGGTAATTGTTCAGTAATAGGCAGAGGTACAAAGTAAATCGTAGACGCAAAGAAAAGACGACTTGGTGAACCTTACACTCTACACAAAGCTTAAGCGGTACCTGGAAAGTGATATTGGAGAGTGATCTAGCAATATTCGTGCTGATGCTTCCCTTCCAAATCTAATGTCCTCTTCAGCATAAGCACACCCTACTGACTAGGACATCTGGCATTTGCTGCTCGGTCAGTGTTACGCAGCCACGCTTATTGAGATATAACATAGTGTTCAGCTGGAGGAACCCCTTTGCCATAGAACACCTGAGAGAGGCTAGAGGAGTGTGGTAGAAGCTATAAGAAAAAAGCATTGACTTTTCTTTATTGACTGATGTTGAGGCTTCAGCAGCAGCTAGCCAGCCTTTACAACTTCCGAGCTAAACTCGGCACACTCCTTTCAAAGCAAGTCTAGAATGTTATCTCAGGAGCTAGCAATGAACAAGTCTTGCAGCACACTCAACCAAAATATATAGAATTGGATCATCAACGGTGTGCTAAAGAAATGCCTCTACGTAAACAGATGAATGGGATCATCATCATCATATAGTGAGCTTCTTTTGGGATACTTCAACCGATGCAAATTAGCTCTTTAACTGATATACGACCACTGACTATCTGGCTATCGAGAAGATCTAATATGCAGGGAAGTAATTCAATAGATTAACGCAAGGTTCAATATATCAATTCATGCAAAAGCAGGGAATTAGACCACTCCATACTTTATTCACCTATGAGCCATCTTAGCAGCAGGGCTTTTGACTTTCGAATGTCAAAGAAGGTCTTTTTCTATCATCTGAGCTTTCTCACCTGTGCCCTCAGCCCTCAAGACTTCACCAGACCTTTATTTTCGATTGAAGATAATTTTTGCTTCGCTATCCCGATACAAAAATGGGAAGATCTCCCTTCTGGATTGGTAGATGAATTGTTCTGGGTAACAGGCGGTGGACATCTTTGTTGACAGATCTGAGTTATCGACTTGGTTATATGCCCTAAAGTTACCCTAATCCCTCGGGGCTCCATCCGAACCTGTGACTCAACCTTCTCTTTAGCGGAGGAGAATAGTTCCGAGTGAGTGTGCTCCCGAACCAACAATTTGTATACTCTTTGCCCCAGGTACTAATACCCACGTTTTCCTGCTTCTTTTTATTCTCTTACTCTTATGAAATAAAAGCAAAGCACACCGCTAAACAAAAAGCTGGTATTACCAACCTTCTCAGAGGTTAGGCGATTAATTGAGTCGATCAGTCATCTTTTTTCCAAGACAACTTTATTGTGTGTATGCGCATAAAGGAAAATCGTGGAATCAGGATTACTCGTCCACTTTCATCGCCTTTTTTTTATCCGTGTCATCCTTACTGCTTTATCCAATTATTCTTTATTCCTCCTCTCACTTAGGTGAAACACTAGAAACAGCCATTAATTTACGGATCGGTCATACAAGGAGCATACCTACGAATACTTCGGCGTGTGCTGCATTCGAGTGGTTAATAGCATACATCTATTCCCAAATCCCAACGGAGATAGATATTATTCTTCTGTGATATCCCTTATATTCTCGTAGTAGGATTGAGGGCAGCGAAGTCTCCCATTTATCTTGTCTCCTTCTCTTGGTTAGTGTGTACTACTTCCCAACGTATCTTATATAGAGACATTAGAGGGGCCTGATCTTCCATCTACGGAGAAGAGATGCTTGAGTTCTTCCATCAGCGAAGGCGGTGTGCTCAAATAAGTTAGCTTGTTACGAGATTATCAGGTCCACCAGGATAATTCGAGGTGGATAGCCCTGACTGACAGGGGACTAAGATTATGAAGCATCCACAAGAGCTAAAGAGCCCTTTTATGTTTGTTTCACTAATCTTATAGATTGGAAGTTTTCCCGACACAGAGTAGTAGGGTTATGCTTTCGAAAGTCATTTCAAAGTATAAGGGAGGTCCATCTTTAGAGATCTGAATAAAAGTTTTGAGCTTAATGGATTCCCGGAACCCCAAGACTTTAGAGAGTCCCAACCCTAAGAAGGCTTGCTCGGGTTGAAAGATGTGATGCAGCACAGACAAAGGTGCGATAGTAAGTCAATTGATCAGGAGAGGTGGTAGCTTCTGGTCTCTTAAGCTGACAATGGTAGTCTATATAGATTTAACGTTCTATGATGTTTGCTTGCTCAAGGCTAGAAGCAGGAGTCTGTTATTGATAGCTCCCATTGCCATTGGCTGTTCCACCCGTTGTCTTTCCGATAGATGTGAAAAATTAAATTATTTTCATCATCTCCTCCTGGCTGCCAGTATATGGAGATGGTTTGATTCTGAGAGTTTAGGAACACCAAGATTTGATTGACATCATCTATGGCTTTGCGCTAATATGAATTATGAATATAGGTTAAGTGAAATCTGACAACCAGCACACTTTTGATATTATTAGCAGCTCCGGCGAAGTAGCACAGACCAAGGTAAGCACAGGATATGCAGTATCCTTATGAAGTCTTGTAAGGCTCAGATCTTTAATAGAAGTAAACTTCAGGTCTTTGTTATAATAAATAGCCATCTTCGTCCTCAATAGCAAGAAAGTAAGGCTGCTAGGAGTAAGTGGGAAGTGCTAGGGTAAAAGTCCTTGATGGATCGATCAACGGATTCTGCAATTTCATCTCTTTCATAAGCGATGAATTCTTATTTAGCCTTAGTTGGGATTTGGACTCAGAAGCCGAACACAGTTCTTAGATCGATTAAAAGCTTGCCGCTTATCAACACTCTTTTTCTATGGTACTTAGGCAGCGGTTGAAGTTACCGTGGATGGAACCATATGTGCTTTAGCAACAATAACTCGACTATTAGAACATGCGTACGTGAGGAGCAACTCGAGTGAAGAAGAAAGTTATGGTGTATTGTCCAATGTGTCCTGCTTTTCTCCATGCTGAGGACTATTCGACTTGAATCAGATTCCGATTTAGTGGAGGAACTTCCTTTTGAAGGCATCCGAGAGCCTATTTAAGATTTACAAATTTCCTCAGCTAGATGATCAATGTCTTGGATGCAGGATGGCTCCAATCTGACACATGTGGAACCAAAACCTAAAGATTCCTTTACTAGGGTTTGGTGGAATGATAGCCCAATGAAGATGAGTTGGGTGGGAGTGTGCAGCACAAGCCAGCTCCAAACAAAACTCTAGATTTTTTTAATTCAAGTGATTCTTTTCCACTTGGATTACGACGTTTTACTTAGTACTGTATGGAATCTCCAAAAGGAGTGTGCTCAAGAGCAAGCAGGAAGGATTATGCAGCACACCTTCGAAGTGAGGCTGCTAAGCAAGTGAAGAGAGCAGGTGAACAGGTGAAGAGCACAGACCTTGAATCTTTTGATTAGTGAAATGATAAGGGTACTCGAGTTTAAATTTATACTACGGAAATCCGATCGGGCATACGACCAGAAAGTAAGAAGTAAGTCTTCCTGGTGAGGCAGCTCTAGCGAAGTAACCTCCTTCTATAGTTTATTTCTAGTTGGCCTGTCAGAGTCCTATTATTATAGATCACAAGGAGCTATATAATCCCTTTTCTTTTCCAAGAACAACAACATGCTCTTAGATCTGGAAGGCTAGAAGAGAGAGTATCAACTTGGGTTTGCGGATGCCAGCTTGGCTCTTAATCGTTATGGAGTGACGATGTTGTGACGGATAACCGAGAAAGGGACAAGGTGTTTTTCGAGGTGTGTGCATTATGCTGAGGGATTGGGAATACTCGCTCTCTTTTGTGTGATGATGACAGTGAATGCGGATGAAGATGACTCTGGGGATTCGTTAAGCATGATTCGTTGCATGATCAGGGATAACAGAAGAAAGTAAAGTCTGAATCATCAGGTCGATGTCGAAGGCAAAGATGTTGAAAAGGAGGACAAGGCTATGTGTGAAACCCTAAAGAGAATTTTATTCTGGAAAATTAGAACACAGTACAGAGCTACGAAGTCTTATAGAGAAGCTAAAGACAGACATCGAAATCAGCTAAGCTTCAGACGGACCTAAACACGCAGCTCAAGCTGATAAGGATGCTGAAAATGTAAAGGCCAAGGCCTCTCTCAGTTGTTGCTTTACCTGTCCTATTAGACTAGCTAGGCCCTCGTTTGGTATGTCTTGTTCCTTGGCTTCTCCTTGTTGGAATTCATAGATGATTGTAACCTAAGGGTTGTTATATCACTGTCCTTCTGTGGGGGAGAAAGAGGGGGTGTTGCTAACTCGGTAGGCGCATAGGCGCGGGTTCCGGTTGAAGAGTCAAATTCTCCTTCTTGTTTTTTTTGTGATAATATTTCTCTATACTCTATATAAGATGCCATCTGTTTTCTTTACTTGTTTCCTCCTTAGCTTTGAATCTATCTGTGACTGTTCTCCTTCTTCTCTAAGGTCTGTTCCTTTGTTCCTTCTTTGTGCCTTCATTTGCTTTCTTTTGTTTGACTGTTAACTTAAGTATCTACCTTCTTCCTTTGGTTTCTTGTAGTTCTATCAGTTAGTTCTTCAATGGTTAGCTCTGCCTGAGCTGGAGTTGTCCCTCCAGCGAGAGTTGCTTTCTTCCTTGCTTGATCGGTAGGAGTTGCCGAGATAGCAGGTATTAGCTGTTAGCCGTCGGACTCATTTAAAGGAGTCCTATCGGGCTACACTAGTCTAAGGGCAGTTGAGTAACCGATTCCTACGCTTCCTCTGCTTACCTCTGTCGCTTAATTATTAATATGTCGCTTACCCGTCTCCACTTACCCGCCTCTGTCGCTTGTTATCTGCTTCCCTTAGCTAAAACGTTAGGCGCTATTGAAAGCCTTCACTCTCTTATATTTACGTACACATGGGAAGAATACCTAGTAATTGAGTGACAGCATTCCTGTACCAATTCTATAACCAGCCAATCAGGCATATTGTAAGATCTCAAAACGGTCCCAGTGGAAAATAAAGAGATTGTGGGGGTAAAAGATAAAGTTTATTATTTATTAGCCGGAGCTCGAAGAATACAGAGATTTTAGGTCGTCGGAAAAGAATATCGACCTAAAACTTAAGAGAAAAGAATCGAGATCTAAAGCTAAAAGCATGATGCTCTAGATTACCCTAAGTCTCGAGTCTGAAGTTGTGAATGAATGATCTCCGAGGGGAGGCTCTTCTTTTATACTGGATAGAGGCTGTGTCAGAAGCTAGTTCTTCTTTTTCGAGATATGCATAGTTCCCATTCTTCTCGGGATCCACTTTCTTTTTCCTTCGCGATTTGAATAAATCTTGGAATGTTTCCAATTAATCAAACCGACCTAATTCCAGAGGCGGAATTAGGGTTTCAAATGGGCTTTTTCTAATTTATACAGGGCTTTTATGAGGGGTGCTAAACCCATCTCTAACAATAAGTCCCCCCCCCCAGTTTGGCGATCTACATAGCCAGGTCAGGGAACATAAGAAAGAGATAGCTCGATGTAAATTGAGAACGGGACATTTCGAAGCATGGGGTGCACGAAAGCTACATCAATCTACATGAATTTCTGATTGGTATGATTTAGGATCGGCTATCGAGATAACATGTATCGTTCGAAAGCTCCCCTAAACCACATAAAGTAGGTCGGGCCGTATTATAAGTCGGGTTTGTTAGCCACGAAATAGTCTCTTCGTCTCCTGAGATTTGACACGTGTCACGATCTGAATATATAAGCTCGGGAAATACGAACCATCGCAATGATGATGGGTTCCTCGAAAACCATTTCACACTTTGTATAAAAAGGGGTGAGAGAGGCCTTCATTTCTTCACTTCTCATTTTGCGAAAATCTTCAAATCAGGTTCGCAAGAAGAACGCACCGGGCCCGGGCAACACGTTCGGGGTTATCCCGGCCCGTACTACATGGAAATCATTAAATCGGTCAAAGAAAGTATGCGGGATCGATCCCAAGGTGAGATTCGTAGTCCCCAGCAACGACCTTTGGATGCACCCCAGGGCTACATATGTTTATTCGAGCACATCTTCCTCTACAGCCACCTTTGGTTTTCGTTGCCTCAGGTCCTTCTGGAATATTGCGCAAGGAGGGCAATGCCAATCTCGCAGACCACACATGCCTGCATTCGTTATGTGGTGAGCTTGGCGGTTCTGGCTCAAGAGAACGGGCTGCCTTTCCATACCAATATTTTTGAAGAGATGACTGATATAAAACCTCAAGGGGGAAATACTCGGAATATGGGCTCATTTTATGTGAGCATGAAGAGGGGCTGAACATCGTTACAGAGCAGGCGTCGAAAAAAGTCGATGACTGGCAGGACTGTTATTTCTTCGTCAAGATTGCCGAGAACACCATAGTTGATACGGATGACCTGGTTCTTACTAGATGGGCAGATGTGATCGGTACCTAACCGATCTTCAGCTGTAGAGTTTCTAGACTTTCATTCCCGTGCTAATGTTTGTTTGTTTTTACTTGCAGATAAACCGGCTACTTCGATCAAACCTCCAGCAAAGGGTTTCTTCGAAAACAGGGACGGCTTCAGAAGACTTACTCACGAGACTTGGCCGCAGTTCACCCTTCAGAGAGTTTCCCGAGCTACAGGTTGGTTGAGCGATCAGTAACCCGATCTTAAGGACTACTTCCCAAGCTAATCCGATTTTGCTTCTAATAGTTTTGTTACGTCGTAAATCGAGAAGGATGCCGATCAAGCAGAGGAAGACTAGAGATTTTGCCAAGGACCTAGAAGATTCCTTGATGGCTGCAAGTGTGAAGAGTGCCGAACATATGTAAGGTGAAACGCTTATCTCCGATGCTAACAATCCCGAGGTGAATCGTCCCTTGGAAGACGACCCCGTTCAGACTTCGGCCTGGGATGATGCTGCTCCAGAAGAAATCCTGGGCTCCAGTGCCGAAGTGCAGGAAACCAATGATGTGGTTCCCCAAGTGGCTGAAGAAGAAGCCACGAACTTAGCCACTGTCAAGAAGACTTTGAAGCGTAAGAGGGCTGAGAAGAAAAAGGACAAGGCTGCTAAGGAAGTACCACGTGCTGAGGTCAACCCAAGAGAACCATCTTTGGTTCAAAGCGAGGATCCCGCGGTAGGGGATGCAAATCAGATTGCCGGCTTCGCGAGCAAGTACCCACGAAGGCCGGTGTCGAACCTGTCACCAAGAAGCGTAAATCCGCTTATAGCCAGAATAAGTATGCCTTCCGTTTTGAGTACCGGGGCAAAGAGCCAATCCACTTGGATGATGTGGCCAGTGCCCGACTATGATGGGCTATGAAAAGTCTTCCCTTTGACTCATGTGAGATGGATGAACTCATCTACAAAGATAAGTTTGTCCGGATGGCTTCTACTGACGTTCAGGTAAAGTTTCCCTATTTGTGTACCATCGCTAACTCACACCCGTGCTAACACTCTTTGTACTTTGATAATTAAATGCGTAATTTTCTTTTCAGGCTACGAACCTTAACACCGCGGTGATTGAGTGGTATGAATGTGCTCTGAAGAAGAGTCGTTTGAGCGAGAAGAAGTTGTCCAAAGCTGTTGCGGCTGAACACCGAGAGAGGACGGTGCTGAAGATCGAGAATGATAGTCTCGAAGTCCTTGTGAAATGCAAAGAACAGAAAAATGGGTCTCTCACCACCGAACTGGCTTCGGTTTTAAGGAAATTTGACTCTGAGAGGGAAACTCTCATTAAGAGCCAGGACGATTGGGGTCGTTCGGTAGCGGGCCAAGTACAAAGCTCGGTGTCGAGTCACTATACTGGGCTGATAAAGAAGACGAGGGCATACATAGCCCAGCGTGGGAGATCGACACGATTGTGACCTCTCGTGCTCAACTGGAAGAGCAGCTTTATGCCATCAGGATCTTTGAGCGGAACGTTTTTACGTGTCCGCCATCGGTGATTGAGAAGATAGTGGCCGGCCTCGAGGAGCTGAATGCCCAGGCCGAAAGCTACGATGAGATAGAACTTGTCGGTGATGACTTCGAAGTACCCGACCTTAGCTGGAATCTCCCAAGGATCATCCTTTTATCGTTCTTCTAGGGGACGAGCACGGATCGAACAAAGGCAAGTTGACTCCAGAGATAGTCAAGTGTCTTAAGAATGTTCCCGAGCAAGAAGGTGAACATCTGAGGTCTGATCTGAACTAGGCACTTGGCATGGCGCCAGTTATCGATCAGGGTATCAATCAGCGTAGACTGACGGCGGGAGCGAGCGGAGTTGAAGGGGAAACGAGAGATGTCGAGGGCGAAGAAGGCTAAGCTGAAACAAAGGAGGGCGAAGAAGACCGTACTGAAACGGAGGATGGGCGATAAGGGAGCCTGAGGCGTGATTTCTCCTTTGTTTTAATTTTCTTGTTGTTAAATTTTCTACCTGTGCTTCAGGGTTTATTTGTTTTTAGTTTTCGTACTGCTATTTATACTGCAGGATTTATGTAAAACTTTGTTTTCACTTTTTATTTTCGAAGTTGGATCTGAGATGACTAAACAAAGAGTTTACTCTCGGTCTTGGAGTAAAAAATGAACTTTTGTATGAGTGCGACTACGAACATGCAATATCCATTGGGTTTAACTTGTTCGTAGGACTTAAGAATTTTCCTAAATACGAATGTAAGTATACGAGATTAGCTCGGCTTAACTTACTTACACAACTTAGGATTATGCAGGATAGCTCCCGGCTTGTTCACGTTAAATTCGAATACGAGTGTGCGAGGAGGTTGGCTTATATTGCATCGTACGACTTTATATTCATAAATTTGAATATCAACACACGAACAGGTTGGCGTGAATTGTTAATACGACTCAGAATTTTCTAAGTTCGAATGTAAGTGCGAGGTAGACTCGGCTTTGGAGATTTTCGGGTTAAGTGGAACGCACTTTTTCCATCAACCTAAGGTGATTTCACCATATTGTTCAAGAGGAACGTATGCAACACGAGTATTTGCTTTTGATTATTACCGAGTTAAGTTGATCAGACTTAACTTTAGGTTTTATCAAATGTCTGGCCAGGACATTGATGTGTAAGCTCGGCAGCGTTGGAAAAGTAGTCCGGGATAGAAGCTCGAGAGCACAAAAGATAGATAAAAATTTGAAAATTTTATTAAGTAATAGTTGGACCTTTGCAGGCTGCCTACGTACCCAAAACGGGATCAAGCCATTCGTAGTTTACATTGCATAAGAGAGAACTAGCTCAGTAAGAGCTTTTTTTTTGTTTTTTTTGTTTCTTTTTTTTTATAGCATGTGGGCGTTGTTGAAGCCGATCTAGCTGTAGTAGCGCTTAAGACTCATCGAGTTCCAGGGACTTGGGACTTTGTCGCCGGCTGTTGTTTCGAGGTAGTAGACTCCTGGTTTGATGACTCGATTGATGATGTAAGATCCTTCCCAGTTAGCTCCGAACTTTCCGGCTCACCATTCCCTGGTGTTTTCGTATACTTTCTGAAGGACAAGGTCTTGTTCTTCGAAGTGAAAGTTCTTGACCTTCTTGTTGTAATACCGAGCTGCTTGATTCTGGTTGTTTGCATGCGGGGTAAGGCTTCGTCGTGCTTTTCCTCCAAAGAATCCAAGTTGTCAACCAGCATTGCCGTATTGAGTTCAGGGTGCTCGGGGGCCAGGGTGCGGCAGAAACTCGAGACGTTTGCTTCCGTAGGAACCATTGCTTTGCAACTGTATGCTAAGGAGAATGGGATCTTAGCGGTGGTGGTGCGGGGTGTTGTGCGATTGGACCAAAGTACGCCATCAAGCTCATCAGCCCAAAGTCCCTTTTTCGTGTTGATTCGCTTTTTGATTCCGTCAAGGATGGTTTTGCTAGTTGCCTCTGCTTGCTCGTTTCCTTGAGGATAGTGCAGGGTAGATTTACTGAGCTGTATCTTCCATAGTTCGCTGAAGCCTTTGAATCATTTGGAGATGAATTGGGAGCCATTATCCATCACAATCTCGTAGGGTATCCCATGACAGCAGATGATGTACTTCCAATCGAAGTTCTGAACCACTTTGTCTTGAATCCGGATGAATGCCTTTGTCTCCACCCATTTTGTGAAGTAATCTGTCATGATGAGCATGTATTTCCTTTGTCGGGAGAACGGGAGCGGACCGACGATGTCCATGGCCTATTGCATGAAGGGCTAGGGCGGGACGGCTGATGTGAGTAGCTCGGTTGGCAGTATTCACACATCCTTGCATATTCATCGCAGTCTGCTAGCATCATTGGCCAGAAGTAGCCTGAATTTTTTACGTTCACGGCGAGAGCCCGACCTCCATAATGATTGCCTCCAGCTCCATCATGAGTCTCCTTGATAACGCGGCGGATTTCGTCACTTGCAATGCAATGTAGTACAACTCCAGCTGCAGTCCATCGCATGAGATACTCCTTGTGAAGTGAGTAGTGGACGCTACGGACTCGAAGGCGGCGAGTTGCCCAACGATCTTTAGGTTTCATGCCATCGGCTAAGTAGGCACGGATTTCATTGGGCCAATCCTCGGGTTTTGGTTCTTTGAGCGGGGCATCAGGTTCGTCCTCTTGGTAAGTGATGGTGCATACGCCACGATCTGAATCAATGCTCGGGCCGTCAATGCTCTGGATCGGGATAAGGCGACAGAGCTCGGTGTCTTTGTTGGAGGCGAGCACGGCCAAGGCGTCGGCTTCAGAGTTCTCTGCACAGGGGATCTTGAATAATTTGAAGGTTTTGAACTCCTTGGCTAAATTCTAGACGAGCTTGAGATACTTGTCCATTCATTCGTCTTTGGCGTCGTAGTCTCCACTGAACTGGTTGGCTATTTGGCGCAAGTGCGGGTGCGGTAATCGATGTCAAATTCTGATAGCTCGATTGTCCATTTGGCCATCCGTCCAGATTGGGTCTGGCTGTGAAGAATAGTCCTGAGCAGTTGACTTGTAAGGATGGCTATCGTGTGAGACTGGAAGTAAGGACGCAGTTTCCGAGATGAGACAACCACTGCGAGGGCTAATTTCTCCAAGGTCGGGTATCGCAGCTCCGCACCGTCTAAACTCTTGCTAACATAGAAGACCGGTTTCTGTTTGCCTCGGTCTTCTCGGACTAGTACGCCGCTGATGGCCGAGCTGGACAGGGCAACGTACACGTACAATGTTTTGTCGTCTTCAGGTTTCGCGAGTACATGCAGCGTCGAGGGATAGAGCTTCAGTTTCTAGAAGGCGTCTTCGCATTTATCGTCCCAAAGGAAGCGTTTGTTGCTGCGAAGAAGCTGGTAGAACGGGAGGCATTTATCGGTAGATGGGGAGATGAAGCGATTGAGGGCGGCGATCCGTCCGGTCAAACGTTGTACCTCGCGAGTGTTTCGTGGAGAAGGAAGCTCAAGGATGGTCGTGATCTGCTTCGGATTTGCTTCGATACCGCGCTGGGTAACCAAATAGCCTAGGAATTCGCCAAACGTGACTGCGAAAGTATACTTGATGGGGTTCAGAGATTTCAAAATTTTCAAAGCACTTCCGGAGATAAGTGATATGATAGTCGGCCTTCAGAGACTTGAGTCACAAATTTAATTATACAATCTTCGCTTTCCATTTAACTAACCAACATAATTAACTTGATAACTTTGTGGTCTCCCAAATCTCGACTTGCCATATTAATGCTTCTTGGATTGATCATAGACCGGTCAGTAGAATTGGATGGTACTTGATAGACATAATAGAATTCATCACCACCGGACAACAAAGATGTAGAAGAAGTCAGTCTGCTCTATATGCAGAACTAGATAGGCTTCTTTAGGCAATGGCATACGTGAAAGATAGACAATTTCAGATAGTTTGCATCGAGACAGAATGCTCAAGTTTGGTTCAGATGATCGAGAATCCCGTGGATTAGTCTGCTTTTAGATCGAAGCTAGATTATTTGTTTTTGTTTAGAACTTCATTTGAAGAATGTATTATTCAGTTTATCCCTTATGGTTGTTTATTAACAAAAAAAAAATAAGTTGATAACCTAAATTATTAAATATCAAGAACATTATTTTTTTGGTTGATATTAAGAACATAACATTTAAGAGTCATCAGAAGTTACAAAAATTAACTAAAAAACTTCTGGCTAAACAGAATACAAGCAAGATACGAATATATATATATAGATAAAATCTAACTCACATCTTCTCCCTGGGATTCTCTTTTCTTCTTCCTTTAGTATCCTGTCGGAAACTCGCATCTTCCGCCGTACTCTGCATATTCATATTAAATTTAACCAATCAGCTTCTTTAACATTAAGATTCATAAAACACAACAGATAAAACTAAAATAATCCAACTTGAAACCCAAAAGAATCATAGGATTCTCCTTAACCCAACCCTTAAAACACTAGTTCACGTAGTGAAACAATCGCTTTACGCCACGGCACTAGTAATCAACGTCCACGTGTCTTTCTATTTGACCGAATCTAGACCACTCAAAAAATGCGCAACCCTGAATTGCGTAGGATAGCACCCAATCTTAACCTGCGCCAAAGTAATTAAAATAAGAGAGCAGAGAGTGATAAAATACGCACTCGGTGGTTGGCTAACGACGTAAGCGGCGCCGCCGAAGTAACAGCTACCTCCGGCACGACCTTTCTTCTGGTAATAACTATTGAAAGCAAACGAAGCGTGCGCCTCAAGCGTATCTGGGCTATAACACGTGGCACCAGGCTGAATCGGACGGCAATCAGCACCTCCTTCACCACAAGCGTAATCTAAACCTCCCTGTAGCCGATCCTCCCCAGCATCACCATTAGCCACACACCACAAGCTCCCCGTCAAGCTCTTCGAAACACCACCACCGTTATTCGGAGGCGTGACTCGCCGATCTCCGGTCGCCGGAGTATTATGACCACCGTCGCGATAATGCTTTAAACCTTCCTGTGTGAAAGGAATCTCGTAGACTTTCTTCTCGTCGGGGAAGAAGAGGCCGTAGTTTCTCTCCGAAGTCGGCCCGAATTTCTTGTTCTCGTTGAATAGAGCGAAGAGATAAACGGTAAGATCTGCTTTAGGACGCAGCGGTGTACCGCCTCCGGTTAAAATCCGACGGATTAAGTTCCCGTTGTAAGACGCTGCGTTTGCCACGGTGGCTCCGACTTCGTTCTCGTCTCCTTTAGACGGCCAGCCAGTCTCCGTCACGATAATTTCCAGATCGTCATATTTTAAAGCCGACATCGCTGCGAAAACGGCGTCGATCTGAGCGTCGAAGAGGTTGAAATATCTCAATCCGTTACCGGAGTCAACCATTCCCGGATTCTCTCTTAGCAAAGCGTAATCGAGAGGAATCACATCGGAGTTTCCTTCGTAAGCGAAGAAGGGATAGACATTGATCATGAGCCTCGAACCGGTTTCGCGTAAGAAATCCAGCATCGGTTTAATGACGAGATCGGTTAATTCCGATCGAAATGAACCGGAGGAAGATGGGTAAGAGTTTTGAAGCGCGCTTAACGCTAATGGAGATGAGATTTTGATGGAGGAGTGGAGCTTGTAACTGACGAGAGCTGTGTGAATGTTTCTCATAGCTGGGATTAAGTATTTTGTCGTGTTGTGTGGGTCAACAAAAACTTCGTTTCCTACGGCGATTGATTCGATCTGCGTCGAAGGATGATAAGCCGCAACGTTGCGTTTGACCCATGAAGCGGCGAAGGAAGCGCGTTTGGCGGCTGAGAATAGCATTTCGTTTGGGAGATCTACTGTGACCCGGATTCCAGATCCGGATAAGGCTTTGAGAACGGCCGGGTCGGCGTCGAAGATTTTGACCCGGTCGATTCCTTGGGATTTTAGGAGCTGGACTACTTTGAATGCTGATGGGAGTTCGTCGGAGATTCGGCCGTAGTTTACTCCGATGGAACTAGTATCTGCAAAAAGACAAAACATAAAAATCGAAAATGATAATGTGATGAAATCTTTCTCAAGAAAAGTGAAATAACATTACCTGAGAATGAAATGGATGAGAGAAGGAGAAGGAACACAAGAGATGTTAATAAATCCATATTCTGCTTCTGCATCTGCTTCTAGAGAGAAGAGAGATGAAGCTTAAGAAGGAGCCGGAAAGTGAGAGAGATTAAGGTTATCAGAGAGTGCTGTCGTGGGGAGTGAGGGACTAGTAGCAGCTACTTCTAGTAAAGTGGTGGGAACAGGTGAATGGGTCTTATTATCTTAACGGAAACACACAAAAAAAGTAAATTAAGTTATTAATTATCATTTTTCTTAACTAATGTTACTTATCTCTTATATATTAATTGAGAAGTATTTTTAAATAGCATCTTTATTTTTATAAGTATTTACGGTGGTGTCATTATACTCATATGTGAATCTCACATTCATCTTCAGCTAATTGTTTTAAAAAGACTTAGATTACTAGACTAATTACATGATATGTCATTATATATTTTAGGTTCATATATAAGTTATGTTTTATTTTATAAATCAGTATTTAATTTGTTAAGATATTCCGTTTCTTTTATTTTTTATCAAAAAATATCATATTAATTATTTTGATAATTACATTTTCTACTAAAAAACTAATTTTCTCTTATTTTCATTTAAACTTACTTTTGTAAAGTAAATAAATTGTCACATAATCCATATAATAAAAAATATATAGATTTTCTGTACATGTATTATAATTTGAATTTAAAAAGTTAAAAATAAATTACTCAAATTATTAATAAATAAACATAAATTATTATAATTTGAGTTCATCAAAATCATTATAAAAATTGATTGTAATTTGAGTTTATTATAGTCATTATGAATAAAAGTAAATAATTATAATTCTATTTAATTGACTTTTTCCAAAAGAAAATTCTCAATTAACTTATAATTTAGACTATTTCCAAAATTTAGTATACAATAAATAATATTTAATATTTAAATAATATAATTATGAGCTAATTGAAAATTTATTAATAATTTTAATAAAAATAAAATTTATTGTTTGATATATGTTAACATATGAGTAATTTAATTTATGGCGCATTCACTAATCTAATTTAGATATAAGTAATATATTAATCCAAATTTATTTTGTTAATTTAGATATATATATTCAAAGATCTCGAGTAGAAACGATAGTGACACTTTTGTCTATTAAGTCATCAATGTTTAAAATTTATTTGGAGTAAAAATAATATATAAGATGGATAAACATCAATATTTTTATAGAAGCTAACTATAATAAATTTTATTTGTCACATTATTTTTTATATAATCAATCATTGCAAAAATGCATCAAAACTCTAACCATATTACATCTTAAATTTAATATTCTGCTTTATTATGTATACACTATACTCTCAACTTACTATTTATCATATAGTCAATTATGCTTTATTATTATATTTTAGATAATATTTTTTGATTACAGATTTTTGGAGTAAATAATTATTTTTTTCTTTCATAAAGAGATAATTTATGGATATAATTACTATTTTCAAATTAAAAATATAAAAAATTGTGTCTTTATTTAATTCATTTAATATAGTAGATAAGTAACAAACATTTAAATAATAATATTATTTAATTATTATTTAAGAGTCAAAAGTAACTAAATATATATACAAATATTATACTAAATTTAAATAAATAATAATTCTTTCATCCCGCACAGGATGGGGATTATTACATAGTTAACTTATAAAGTATAATCATTTTCACATGACATATTGTTTGCATCATCTTCTCCACTCACTACAACAAATCATGTGTGTTGTATCATTTATTTTATTTGTTAATATCATTTTTTGATTGATGTAAATTCAGTTGCATCATTTCATTAAATGACTCTGGAAGTGATGATGCTAATCATTTATATCAATATTATTAATGATGCAACTATTTTCATCACTTATATTAATTGATATTAATATATATCATTTGCAATAAGTGATATATATGTTTACATCACTTAAAGTAAATGATATTAATATTTACATCACCTAAAATAAAAGATATTATATATTAAAAATCAGATATATTAAAATTTGTTTTGATTTAAATTTCTATGTTAATTTTTATAATATTATAAATTTCAAATAACTAATAATTTTATATTTATTATTGTAAGAAATGTATATAAATACATACATATGATTTAACATAAAAAAATAAGTGTTGATGAATGTCTTTTATAGAGGATGAAACTAGTACTCTTCATCATTCTTAGCAATGTGGGACAAATAGTTGTTTAGTGAAAATTTTATTTGCATCACTTTTATAACTGAAAGAAATATTAGCATCATTTATTATTGATGCTAATGCTAGTTGATCAAATGCTTCACTTATATAATTAATGTAAATTTATATATTTGTGTTAGTTTTTAAAAGTGATATAAATTAATAATAATTTGTATTATTTTTTTTAATTGATGTTAATCAAGTTAGTAATAGTATCAATTATTTTTAATTGATACTAGTCAAGTTAAGATTAATATCAATTAAAAAATTGATGTAAAATTTTATATCTAGTATCAATTTTTAATTAGTGATTCTAAATAAAATCAGTTATTATAATGACATTTATAAATGTAATATATATTTCTTTTTTGTAGTGACTTTCGCATCTTTCACATGACAGAGTGTATGATTAGAGTTTACAGCTAATCATGTGGAGCATTGATGTGTTTTTTTTTCTATGAATCTGAATCATTTTTTTGTTTTTGTTTTTTTATTCAAACACAATGTTATAATGTCCATGAATGGATTATTGTTTACTCATCTTATTTCAAAGAGAATGATACTATTTTAATTCAGACGTAAAGTTTGATTGTGATTATTATTTTATTCCAATGGTAGCTGTGCTCTGTAGAAATAGATATCTATAGAGGATTATTTTTTTGAAACTAAAGTGTTATGTACATTATTTGCATTAATGAATTAATATAAATGGTACTAACGATACTCGCTATATATTTGTAATTATATATATTTAATAGAAAATCCTCTAATTGAAGAAGAATTTTTTGTATAGAAGAGGTTTTATTAATCCATCTAGGAGCTAGAATAAAAGAGATGCAAGGCACTAACTAAGCGTAACCATGTATGATGAAAAAGGATAATTTTAACAACCTAAATGATCAAAGATGAAATGCAAAAGTGGGAAGCAATACTAACAAGACTAAAGCAAGCAATGCAATGCAAAGAAACTAAATGCAATAGAAGCTAACAAGACAATGATCTAAATGCAACATGACTAAGGTAAACAAGGCAATTAAACTGCAAGAACCAAAATAAATGCTAAATGCAATAACTTGAAATGGAAGACAATGAATGGAACAAAAACAAAGCAACTAAAAACAAAACACAAAATGATCAAATGCAAAGAACAATGAGGCGCATGTTCAAGGCTAGAGCAATGATGACTTGGAGATTACTTAGTATCAATCCTAGGGTAGTCAAGACCAATAACAAGCAAATAACATGATCAAACCACTAAATCAATCAATCTGCAACAAGAACAGAGATGTCTAAGTTAAGCACATGTCAGACCCATTTGTGATGGCGTATTTGAGCAGAACCAGCATGAAAACACAAGACTCTTATAGACCAAACATGCTACCTAAACGCCAATATAATCATCTAGGAGAATGTTTCTAACAAAGTTCTTTCAGGCATTTAAACAAACACTTGTGATGCAGCAAGCACCTAAGATAAGTTTCACCCTAAAAGAGTTACTAAACATTAAGAACAACTAAGGTAAGTGATCTAAGCATGAATCAAACCAAAACACCCTTAGTTATCAACCAATCATCTTCAAATCTGCTATAACCTCAAACCATATGAAATTACTCACAACACATAGCAAAATCACCAGAAACAAGCAGAAATGACAGATCAAGCATGATTAAACAAGAACTAGAAGGAAAATAACAAAGGAAGTGCAAAACTTTATTAAAAGAGTGATCTTGATCAAAATCTCATCAAATCCCATTTTTGGGTTTCTCCTCAGGTGGAAAATAAGATAAAGAAGAAGATAAGATAACAAAAGCTAAGCCAAAAGCTTAAATAAGTGAAAGGATAAGGTTTGGTCAAAAGTGAAAAAAATTAGTCAACTCTCGGATAAAGCATATCGGTGTACAGTAGATTTTTTGCTCGATGCAGTCTGTCCCTATTGCTTCAGACATATATGGTTGGTTCAGCACGCATCAGGGAGTTTTGCCTGGGTTTTGATCGAAGCGCTTCCCCGTTATAGCAGGCTAGTGAACACTGCATAGCTGAAATCGCTCTATCTCTTGAACCCAGATCCAAATAACATGATTCAATCATCATTGGAAAGCTATTCCAACCCTCTACAACTTTCATGAGTAACGTGGAGCCTGAATATGAGTGGCGAGGCTTCGTCCAGACCAATATTTATCTCGAATCCTGTTGAACCGAGCAAAGACCTCGATGTGGGACCTCGGTGTAGCTTCTAAACAGCTCGGCTTCATTCTTCTTGCATATTTCTTTAAGTCCAGATGATCCTCATCCTCCAATAAGTCTCCTTAGCCCCAAAAACACCTGAAATACACCTTAAACATGCAAACGTATGCATTCCCAATCTAAATGCATGCATGGCTACTTCTATAAGTAAATGGGACTAAAATGATAAGAAATAATGCAAAAATAAGAGAAAACATGCATGAAATGCAGTCTTAAATACTCTAATATAACAAGCTATCACTAATCCACATGATTTTTATTTTTTTACAATCAACAATAGGCAGCTTCGCCGACTCGGGTTGGTATTATTTTTGACTTTATTAGACGAATACTAATTATATATTTGTAACTATATATGTGCGACTTTGTACCATTTGTTGAACTGGTTTGTACCTGCTTTGATCAACACAAAATAAACAAAACATTACTTAACAATCACACTCTAATCAACTCATTTTGCTAATACATTATCTCTGATTGTTTTCTAAAGTGCAATTAACCAAAAACGCACATTATATGATTCTAATCAAGTTTAACTAATGTCTTAACATGAAGAATACCAAACCATATGTTATCAAAATGATTTGAATATGAACTCGGTGATATTGTTTTTTAAACTTTTAATCCCGAACCAAATCTGTTTAAATTTTTAACTTCAAATCTAAACAACAACACCTTCTTTCTGTAACTAATCATATTGTTTTTTAACAAACAAGATTTTCTATTAAACTATATCCTTTAGCAACGAATTAAAATCAAATACATTATCATTTTCAATAGATAATATATTCTGTATATCCAATCATTCCATAAAATCTACCATCAATATTTTATATTGTTAACTAAATATACTTTCCAAAAAAATTATTCGTTGTTTATCTAAGTATATCTAAGATCTTCCATTTATTTTCTACAATTTGAAAATGTAACAAACCAAACTAATCATTTCCCTTATAAATACAAACCTAGACTTAGCTACATAACACATTCTCAAAACACAAAGCATCATAAATCAAACATTTTTCTA